CTCCTAACATCCAGCCCCGTTCTGTGTTGTCATCAGATCACTAGCACATATTGGGCATTAATTTTGCTTCCCATGCTGTGAGATACCCTAAATAATACATGACAGAGTAGAGTAGGGTGAAGAGATCTGTGCAGCAGTGTCCTGGTTTCTACGTGAATAGCTTTAGGAATATCAGTGAACTTCCAGGGGCCATGGTTTCCTTATACGGAAAATGTGGCAGTTGGACAAGACCAATGTTATGAACCTCCATGAGAATCTAATGAGGACTACGGACCCTTTCCTCATGAAAAAAAATGCAGGCATATATAGTATTTCACATGTAGTTTTAAGGCTCCAAATAGCCTTGAGAGATCTACAAATGTGATGTAATACTGGGACATGTATATTTATGGCTCCTTGCATGTAGACATTTATGGCACAGAAAATAAGATGATACCTAATGTTAATAAAATAATCTTTGGTTTTTGCTACTGAGAATATAGAATGTACAATTTATGTGTCTTTTGTGTCTTAGATACAATTGTATTTGAGGAATATCGTTTATTTGTTTGTTTGTCCATTTGTGCAATAGGACCTATACAAAATAAACTTCGGCAAGCCAGAGTGGAAACCATAAGCACTGATGTATGTAACAGAAAGGATGTGTATGATGGCCTGATAACTCCAGGAATGTTATGTGCTGGATTCATGGAAGGAAAAATAGATGCATGTAAGGTAAGTTTAAAGTAAAGCCAAAAGTTTGTGGGGAAAGTTGCCATTAGCTATTTCTGAGTTTGGCATATATTTTACCTAGGAGAAAAAAAAATGGCATCTCTTACACCAAGAACTGAGTTTATTTAATAATCATGACAATAATAATAATTGTATTGAGTGTTTAATATATGCTAAACCAAAAATTAAGCACTTCTTATACATTATTTCATTTAATGTAATGAGATAAAAGCAATATCATAATTATCCTTATTCATCCCCCAGCCTCCCAGTCATTTCCCTTCACCCCTTGCATTTTTTAATGACAGCGACACCTGAAACAGGTTTTCTTTACAGTAGATCTTGAGATCTACTGCAAAGGCCTGCAGTAGCCTTGCATTAGCAACACTGACCTGTTTAAATGCTGGACTTTTAGTTCCTAGACCTCCTCTTCTCCAGTGATCTTCTATACTCTTCAGCCAACCCAGACCTTCCTCTTAGAGTCACACTATGGGCCTTGTTATCAAAAACTGCTCCGTCTCCAAAAATGCTTATTTACATCTTTCCTTTTGACTCCTATCCCCCAGTGTTCCCCCCTTGCTTTTTAACTACTGCTTCCCTAGATACTCTTACTATGTTATACCCTCGTCTACCAACTCTCATTCCCAACATGCACAACCTGCATGGACATTCCTTGTGTCCTTTCTTTGTTCTATTTTTCTCCTTAGGCTTTGTAACCATGCAGTATGCAGTTTTTTTGTTTATCTAGCTTATTGCCTATTTCTCCACTAACTAAAATGTAAGCTTCATGAAGGAAGACATATTTTAATCTATTTTATTTACTGCACCTGAAATAGACTGGTGAAAATATGTGTTGACTGACTGAATGAAAAACAGTCTTTTTTCAACTTCATAGACACCTACTATCCATTGATTCCTCTGTTTTCTCACAGTTCATTAATCCTTTCCTTTCTTCCATCTTCTACTTTTCCAGTTCAGATTTCACTATTATTTTTTATTGATAAATAATAATTGTATTACATCTATGGAATACAATGTGACATTTGATACATGTATACAATGTGGAATGGTTAAGTAAAACTAATTAACATATTCATCACCTCACTTAACTTTTTTTGTGATAGACATCTAAATTTTACTCTCTTAGTTATTTTGAAGTCTATAATAGAGTATTATTGATTATAGCCACCCTGCTTTGCAGTAGATCTCAAAACTTATTCCTCCTGGCAGAAACTTTGCACCCTTTGACTAGCAACTGCCCCTTCCCTCACTCTCCACCCCGCGAGGCCCACCCAGACTCTGGTAATCATCAGTCTACTCTCTA